ACATTTCTCATCTAAGAACTATTGTTGGGGTAAAAAATGATGAACTGAATAATTTGTTTAAAACTTTAGAAGGTGATAAGGACTTAAATAGTCCAAGAGAATTATCACCTGAAGCTGAGAAAGAATTGGCCTTGGTAGAAAAGAAAGTACATGAAGGGCACGTAGATCGTATTAATCCAAAGCTGGATTGCATTTTGGTTATTTTACCTTCTAGGCATTCCCCAACAGGAATATTAATGCAAAGGGAAGATATTATATTGGAATGGATATTTTTACCAAATAAACCAAATAAAAAATTAAAAACTTATGTGGAAAAAATCTCTGACTTGATTTGGAAAGGAAAATTGAGACTTCGTCAATTAGCAGGAATAGACCCAGCAGAAATTGTCGTACCTTTAACTAAGGAGGACATTGAAAAATTATGGATAGAAAATGAAGCTTGGCAAAAAGCTTGTAGTAATTTTTTGGGAGAAATTAACAGTAAATATCCCAAAAGCAATAGAATTGATCTTATAAAGAGAGCTGATTGGATCTTGCCTCGAATTGTGAGGAAAAAACCCATATCTGGAGTTCGTACATTTTATACAGATGCCAACAAACAAGGAAAGGCAGGTTACAAATCAGAAAATTTAAGTAAAGTGGTTCAAAGTCCTTATAATTCAGTTCAAAAATCAGAATTGTATGCTATTCTGTTGGTATTAATGGATTTTTCAGAACCTCTCAATATAGTAACTGACTCTCAGTATGCTGAAAGAGTAGTATTACATATTGAGACTGCAGAATTTATCCACGATGATTCAGAATTAACTTCATTATTTATTCAATTACAAGATACAATCAGAAAAAGGAGTCATCCTTTATATATAACTCACATCCGATCCCATACTGGTCTGCCAGGCCCTCTAGCACAAGGCAATGATGAGATTGATAAATTATTGATAGGAAATGTGCTGGAGGCCTCAGAATTTCATAAAAAACATCATGTAAATAGTAAAGGTTTAAAAAAGGATTTTTCCATAACCTGGCAACAAGCCAAAGAAATAGTAAAGAAATGTCCTACTTGTTCCTTCTACAATCAAACACCATTACCAGCAGGATGTAACCCAAAGGGTACTCAGAGGAATGAAATCTGGCAGATGGACGTGTTTCACTTTGCAGAATTTGGAAAACTGAAATATGTACACCACACTATCGATACTTATTCAGGATTTCAATGGGCAACTGCTTTGAGTTCTGAAAAAGCTGATTCTGTAATCACTCATTTGCTAGAAGTTATGGCCATTATGGGTATACCTGCACAAATCAAAACTGATAATGCTCCATCATATGTCTCTGTTAAAATGAAACAGTTTTTTGCTTATTATAATATAAACCATGTTACAGGTATACCACATAATCCTACAGGTCAAGCAGTTATAGAAAGATCAAACAGAATTCTAAAAGATATGCTAAATAAACAAAAAGGAGTAACAAAAACCCCCAGAAATAGACTACATAATGCTCTATTAACTTTGAATTTTCTCAATGCCAATGAGAAAGGAACAACAGCTGCAGAGAGACATTGGATAATAGAAAAAACTACAGAATTAAATCAACCTATATACTTTAAGGATGTGCTGACCTCAGAATGGAAACCAGGGTATGTGTTACGTTGGGGACGAGGTTTTGCTTTTATTTCTACAGGAGAAGATAAGCTGTGGGTACCATCAAAATTGATAAAGGTGCGATTTGAACAAGAGAGACCTCTTAATTAGAGGAGGTGATAGTTCATCAACTATCGTAAACATCCAATTTAAACTAACTTACACCAGTAACACATGCCTTTTCATTTAATCAGATAACTTGTCAAAAAGGAACATCCCCAAAAAACCTTGGGGAAAGATTTTTGTTTTTGTCTTTTAGGAGAATGAAGGTTAACGAATTTGAAGAACACTGGACAAATGAGACAACTGAAGAAAAGGAACAAATCATCTATCCTAAGAAACAGAGTGAAATGGTGTATGGGTATGTTATCTAAAAAAATTTTATGTCTTCCTAAATGTTTGTTTCTGCTTTTCTTTAAAGATTTAACACTATTTAACTTCTAATAGTCCCAGTTCAATTAAAATTTAAAGCTGACTTTGGAGTTGGAGAATGGCTCTCTCCTTCTTTAAACTCAAGCATGTTGTTAAAAGGAAAATGCAAACTCCCTGTATCATGCCAGAGGAAAAGAGCCATCTTCTGCTATGGGACAGGAGAAAAGCCAAATTAATTAAGGGACTATTCTATTACGAATCTCAACTCTTTGATTCTATTCTGATTCTTTAAACTTTTCTTAAAGTATGAATTTTATATCAAAATTTACAAGATCAATATATATATAGATATATATACATTTTAAACTTTGTTAAGATATAAATGGTCATATAGAGTACTAACTAATTCTAAAAAGTCGCATATATAGTCTTTGTGTTCGAGTCTCTTATCAGTTTTTTGCAGGAAATCACGGTTAGGCCTAACATCAACTGAAGTCTCCAGGAAGAAGATGGGGCCCCACAACAACAACAATTCCACGTGGACAATAATAACATCACTAAGCTGACAAACATCATCTACAGATCAGCTTTGAACTACAAAGTGCTCAGAGCAATTTTGAGAAGAGCTAGTTGAGATGATCCAGTCTCAAAGACTACTTGAATAAGGATTTGAGATAAACCCTGAATTTTGGCATTATACACAGACTGGATAACGAAGGATATATTTACCTTTCCTAGAATTTGACAATTAACCTAAAATTTTTCTTTCAGGATAAAGATACCTTCGCCCATACCCAGCAGGAAGCAATTTCAAGAATACGACGCCCACATTCCCAAAGAGGTGGTGTGGGGCGTTTGGTTTTTTTTGGTCTTTTAATGGGTTTTGGGTCTGGGATAATTTTCATTGATTAGGGGGGTTGGTTACAAGTTGTTGTCAAGGGTTAGGAAAAAGGCTAAGCAAAGGAGATTAGATTTAAGGTTCTTATTAAAAAAAAAAAGAAAGAAAAGAAAAATGTAAATACTTTACATTGGATTGGATTGTTTTATATTGTATACAAATTATATATATTGAAATTGATATTGTTAGAAAATGTTATATATATTTTTCTAATTGTACCGTTCATCTAACAATGTAATGCAATTGTCTGATCCTTGAATGTTATTACCAATTATTAGGATATAAAGAAATGAAAGTTAGTAGTTAGATATTATAATAGAACTTGTAGTTATATTAGGTATGTTTTCAAGATTGAGTAGATATATTTTAGATAGACAGGTTATCTTCAAACCCTTCAGAGATCTACAGAATATGGCATTTAAAATGTTTTAATAACTTAGAAAATTTTTCTTTTTTGTTATGACTATGAGACATGTCGGCTCCTGGCAGTACCAATCTACTTCAGAGAAAAAATGGGCATTGAAGAAACTGCATATGGAGTTAACTTTCATTGTGGCAAAAGTTAGCCACTGGACAACAAAGTATCCTCGAATCAACAGGACAAAATGGACAGACAGGACATAAAACAAAGGATTACTGATTCTTGCCAAAACAAGTGTGGTTATGGCTTTATCAAAAGGCATCTTCAGAGGCCAGGACAATATGGCACCATCCCTGAAGTGGCCTTCGCAATTCGAAAAAGGTACAGTGCCCTTTTCTTCGAAGGCAGCTGAACAGGCAGTGGGCCGATGGCTTCTGATGTGCAATGGAACAGTAGCTGAAACAGTTATTCTTGAAGAGTAACTAAGCTCACGCCTCTCAATAGTAGACTGGCATTTGATGGAGGGATATGGAGAAGAATGGGATGCTGAGATGAAGCCATATATACACAGCCAAGAAGAATGGACAGCTGAATTAAAAAACCATCAACAATTTCCAGAATTTAAAATCCTGAATCATGACATGACACTAGTGGAATTCAGGTGTTTCTGGTACTGGTACATGGACTACTCTCACTCAATGTGAGGTTGAACTGTTGACCTTGTGTACATCCTACTTCACAAATGAGTCTGTCAGATATGCTAAGCCTATAGGCTGAAGATGATGCCCCAGCACTTTGGAGAAACCTCAGGTGACTGTCCAGACAGCTGTCTGTTTCTGTCAACTCACAAATTTTTTGGAAGTTGCTTATGTGCACTTCCTGTTTTTATTTTTGTTAGCTAATATTATTTCCTTCTTGGGTCTCTGAGGGAGTTGAAGATTAGTTAGTTATAGTTGAAGTTTAGTTATAGTTGAAGATTAATTAGGATACATTTTGGACTTACCAAAATAGGATAAATAATGAAATTATTTTCTCTGAATTTGTCAAATACAAATGGACTAGACATTGTTTAGGTATTTATTACTTGTATATATTGTATATAGTTATTGTCCTTTTGTATATAGTTTTTCTTATATTAGTTATAAGCTTTTTCTTTTTTTTCCTTTTTATTAAAATAGAAAAGGGGAAATATGGTGATATTTTATTTGTATTAAAATATTATTTGTATGTTAATAAATAAAGTTGCCCGGGGGTCAGAGCTATTAGCAAGCCATAGGAAAGCAGGGCTGTGGTAGCGTACGCTTGTAATTCCAGCACTTGGTAGGCAGAGCTGGGTAAGTCTCTGTGTGTTCAGGGATACAGCCATTATTGGATACACATGCTTTTAATCTTAATACCAATCATGGAAAACCTGGAGGCCTATACAGACAGGCCGTGAGGAGGCAGTCATGTGGTTGGGTTTACAACCAATGAGAAGGCAGGACAGGAACTCTATATAAAGACTTTAACACAGGGGTAGCTCTGGTTCAGAGAGGTAGGACCACCGCAGGAGGAAGGGTAAGGTTTTAGCTCTTAGCTCTGACCTCTTGGCTTTCTTCTTTGCATTGGTTCCGTGTTTATTATTTAATAAGAAGGTTGGATACATCTACACACATACACCATTCCAATGCCCTGTGCGTCCCCACTGAACCTGACGTGTATTTGGAGAATCAGCCTCTGCTTGTCCTTCTAACACCATGAAAGAGAGAAAGGGGCCTCCTAATTTAGACCTTCCCATAGCTAAATGCTAGAGACAAATGCTGGCTTCACCCTGTGCAGGAATCCATGAGCCAAGGCAGAGATGGGGCATCTCTTCAACAGGGACATTTTTACACAGAAGCATGTCTCTCTAGATGGCTGTGGCCTGAGCAGACTCATTCAGCATGGCGGGTGCATCAACACAATGGCTGAGGAAGAGATGGGGAAATCCATGAAGACCACCAGGAGCCATTGAGAAGAACGGTCTTGTTAAATAAGAAACACAGAGCCAGTGCAGAGATGAAAGCCCAAGAGGTCAGAGCTAAGAGCCTTACCTTTCACTGCTGCTGCTATCTTCTTCAGCAAGAGAGCTACTTCCTGTTTGTCCTTTTTATTGACTTTCTCTTCTGCTTTCTCATTGGTTGTAAACCCAACCACATGACTTCCTCGTCACTGCCTGTCTGTACAGACCTCCAGGTCTTCAATGGTTGGTATTGAGATTAAAGGCGTGTGTCTCCATGCTGGCTGTATCCTTGACCACACAGAGATCTGCCTAGTTCTGCCTCCCAAGAGCTGGGTTTAAATGTGTGCACCACTACCGCCCAGCTTCTGCTATGGCTTGCTATTAGCTCTGACCCCCAAGAAACTTTATTAACATACAAATAAAATCACATTTCAGTACAAATAAAATATCACCATAAGCCATTTAATATGGGACAGGTGCATTCTGGGCAGGGAGAGCCCAGCAATGAGGATTCTTGTTCTGAAGCCAGTGGGTGTGTGCTCTTGTTTATGACAAATGAGTTTAGTAATAGGAGAATCAGAATCCCTGGGCTCAGTATAGAAGGGGGCAGTAACCAGAGTGGGCCTCAGAGAGGGATGAGCATGCTGGGAGACAGTTGCTGCACCTGGGAGGGGTCTAGGGGATGAGGGGCAGGCTTTCTGCCATGAGAATAATGACCCCTGAGCCATCTCAGATTCTGAATCCTTTCCAGGTTTATTCTGTGGGGATCACAAAGTTGACTGGACCTGAATGTCCCTCTTCACAGCCCAGCTGCTTGACCCTGTGGTTTATGATTAACAAACACCCAGCTTCCAGCCAATGAGGTTTCTACCTAGTCAGTTACTCCAATTGGGTAGGTCACAGAAAACCTTGAGTATCTGTCACAAGCACAGCACTGAGGTTGATCTAGACCCTCAGCTACAAGCAACTGAGGAGGACTTCAGGGCAAGGTTGGAGACTCTCTGCATTTGTCTCGAGTAACAGGACCTTCTTGGGACCTCCAGGTCAGGTTTTCTCAAATGTCTAAACGTTCAGAGTTAAGAGGCAGTGGCTTTGTTGAAACTTGTTCTTGGGAATCCTGGATTTGCAATGTACAGACTCGAGAGAGACAGAGATCAAAGGGTTTGGGGGTGAAGACGGGCTGCCACAGGGTACTGTCTCAATGCTCCCAAGCAACTTTGAGATCCAGTAATGGGGCCAGGAGGGTAGAGAAGGGACCCACCAGTGCTTCTTGTTAGCCACTCTATCAAGTCCTCACCAGACCCCTAAAAAGCAAGTGTTTTTTATCCTGTTCTGCAAATGAAGAAACAGGTCCAGAGAAATTAAGTGACATGCCCAATGTCACACATCTAGACAGGGAGAGAAATTAACATTCTAACTAGTGTGTCTGGCCTTATGCTTTCTCCCTGTGATTTCCTCTTAGGTGACAGCATGCACACACACACACATCGGGGGCTAGGGGGATCCAGCCCCTCGATAGTCCCCTCCCAGGGTCCGGGAAGAATCTACAACCAGCTGATAATTATCTTTGAAGAAAGGAATCTATGTACACGAAATTCCTTAGTCCATACACTTTATTATTCTGTCAGTTCTCTCTCTACAAGCTTATACTCTGCTCTCATTTTAAGCTCCTTTCTTGCCCAATTTCTCTTTACATTTGTCTGCTGTCCCCTCCCCTCTAGGTTCTATCTTAATTCTCTCATCTTAGCTCTGCCTCTTCTAGGTTCTCATCCATCTAGTTCTTTCCCATATCAGCTCCTCTCCCGTCTCCTTCTCTCTCATCTGGCTCTTCCTCATCTTGTTCTTCCCCATCTGGCTCTTCCTCATCTTCCATCTCGTTCCTCTAGTCCTCTCTTCTAGTCCTTCAATCTAGTTCTTCCCCATCTCAGTTTGTTCCTCTCAAGTTCTTACCCGTCTAGTTCTTCCGTTCTTTTCTCTTCTCCCTGCTGTTCTCCCCTTCAACAGAAAATGCCTGCCTTTTCTTTCCCTGGGCACGTGGTTCCCTCATCCTCAGGAATGTTGTTTTATCTCTCACCTTGATATGTAAAAATCTCTTTTGTTCGCAAAGTGCTCTGGAGAACCACTAAGCCTCCTCAAGGCCAGGGGATGATCTGAGCTTCATTAGCACCGGAAACAAAGCTAATTGTCTCCTAAGCTCAGCAGGGCAGTTAGTAACTTAGTAGGTTCAGCAGGTCAGGAGAGCTGAACTGTTTACCAATTAGTGTGAGCACGCAAGGATTTCATAGCAGAAGACAGCTGAAATATTAAAGGCTGGGTAACACCAAATGTTCATAATAAATGGCTTTGCCTTTTGACAGACCCTTGGCCGGTCAAAGTTCAGCTTTACTACACAGCTGACTCTCTATGATATATCCTTGCGGCACACAGACAGAGACACACACACACACTAATGCAGGCTCTCCATGGTTACTGGCAAGCTGGGAACTTGGTCAGGGACTTACATGGTTTCCTCTCTCTTCTGCAGGATTACAGAGAAGCATACAGGCAGAGCTAGCTGTGCCCTTTGGCCTTTGAGGTTTGAGGCCCAGAAGTCTCCCATGCCTCCTTATCATATCCGCAAATACCAGGATAGCGACCACAAGAGCGTGGTGGATTTGTTCTCCAGAGGCATCAAGGAGCACATCCCCACCACCTTCCGCTACATGCTGATGCTGCCCCGAATCCTCCTGCTCTTACTTGGGGTCCCTCTTACCCTACTCTTGGTCTCAGGCTCCTGGATTGTGGTTCTTCTCTCCAGCCTTATTCTCTTTGCTTCCCTGTGGCTCCTTGCCAAACATACTTGGGACAAGTATTTAGTAGCGTGTTTGCACACAGACATGGCTGACATCACCACAACCTACTTGAGTTCTCATGACTCCTGCTTCTGGGTGGCTGAGTCTAGGTGTCAGATAGTGGGCATGGTGGCTGCCCTGCCGGCTGCGGATCCCTTCCTGCAGAAGAAACAACTACGGCTACGTCACCTCTCTGTGTCATTGGAGCACCGAAGACAGGGGATAGGGAAAGCTATGGTCCGGAGGGTCCTCCAGTTTGCACAGGCCCGGGGCTTCACTGAAGTTGTCCTTTCCACCAGTATGTTCCAGTATGCAGCCCTGGCTCTCTACCAGGATATGGGCTTCCAGAAGACTGGCGAGATCTACTTCACCATTATCTCCAGACTAAGGAAATCTCCGATAATACAATTAAAGTATTGTCTCAATTCTGCTCAGGAAGGGGGCCTGTGATCTATCTCCTGTGTGTGCGTCAGTCGGGATCTGGTTGCTTCTGTAGTAGTAACAAACCCGGCTACTCCAGGAGTAAACCACTAACCCTCACATTCAAGCACAGCTGAGTCATGTGTTTGGGGGGAGGTTGGGGCAATGGCCACTCTTTCCCATACACGCTTTCCGAGGTGTCTTTTATCTGACACTATAGTAATGTATAAAATGAAACACTAAATAATAAAATTTTATTTAGCTTCTGAATCTTTGGATCATCTATTGGAGCACCGAAGACAGGGGATAGAGCAGGACAGCTCTCGGGGGTCTCCTGTTCCTTGCACTGTTGGGAAGATGTTGCCTTTAACCTTCCTAGGTGGGCAGTGGGGTGTGTGAGACCAAAATGAGCCATCTTAGAAATAAGACCAAAATGCTTTCACCCAAAAACTAAGGCTTAAGATTTCTCCTTCTAGGAATAGGCCAATAGTTACTGAAACAAGTCAGTACAGATTCCAGAAACCAGGACGTGTAAAAGTACAGAGTCACGGTAGTCACGAGGTGATGCCTGCCAGACTATAGAATGTTCCAACCCTGGTTTCCAGGGTAACTGACCATAAAAGTGTCCCCACCTGAGGGCAGCCAATGAGCAATGGTGTCGGGTAACTGTTCCCTTAGAAGTAAGATTAAGCCATGATTTCTAGAAAGCCCCTAGAAGCGAGCCAATCAGAATTGTACCCATACCAGCACCCCTAAATGATGTAACCTTGTGATTTTTCCCTTTAAAAACTGAGCTTGCGGACAGGCGAGCACTTCCTCCAGCCTCCACTGCGTTGGATGTATTGGGCAAAGTCCCTGCCTAGGCTTGTATATCCAGAATTAAACCTTGCTTTTGCATTCTGGCATGCTCGTCTTTGGTGGTCTCTCTGGGGGTCACGATCAGGCAGGGCACAACAGGGTGCACTGTCCCAGAGTGCATCCTTAGGACTCAATTGTTCAGTGAATGCAAACCTGTTCAAGCTGCTCTTGAATTCCACTTCCTGGTCAGACTTAAATATCTTTGCCAATCCACTGAGCAAAAAAGGTCCTTTTATTCTGCTTATAGTATGCATTTGCCCAAAGCAGGGCAATTTCCATATTTAAGGTTCAGATGTTTGTTCTTCTGTGAAATTGCTTGTGCCTGTTTTTATTTAGTTCATTTTCCTACATTGCCAGTTTTGAAAGTTGACTCATATGAGCTCTTTGTATGTTCTGCATGTGAATCTTTTGTTGGCTACCTGTGCTGCAATTATCTCTGCAACCCACCCCCACCCGTGTGTGTGTGTGTGTGTGTGTGTGTGTGTGTGTGTGTGTGTGTGTGTGTGTGCTTGATGCCTTCCTGTGAGGTGACAGCATTGCTGTGTCTGTTATGGGGTGATAGGACTGTCCTGTTTCTAGTCTGGCCAAGGTGCTCAGTCTCTATGTTCTGGAAGACAGCACAAATGCTCTAAAGCTCCTTCCACTATTTCTCAGCTCTAACAACATGAAATCAAGTGGAGGCTTTGTTCAGTCTGGCTCCATCTATCTTATGTTGGTTCTGGATTTGGGGAGCAAAGGTGAGGATGAATATTATGATAGATTGGGCCAGGAACTGGAGGGGTATGTACATTTGACCATGCCCACTTCGGAACTTGGCCACAGGTCCTCTGCAGAAGAGAAATCTAGGAACCTAGCTGACCAAGTTCAGTCTAAGTACTGCACTGGAGGAAATGGCCGAGGACAGAGAGAATAGGCACCCTTGTGCAGATTTCACCCTAGAGCCTGAGGAGAAAGCTTTCTGAAAGTTAGGGAAGGAACTCAGGCCTAGTGTTGCTCAGACTAAGAGAATTGAGTGTACATCTGTGTTCATGTTCCTTAGAAATGTAACCCCCTAACAATAACAACAACAACAACAAAAACCCCAAACCACCACCACACACAACAACCAACCAAACATCAAAACATGACTGGGTCAGATTTGGAAAATGGCTTATCTGGGGAGTGGTGGGGATGGAGTTTCCTAAGATAGGGAAGGGCCTCTTGTGGAGCTAAGAAGGGGCTGAGGCTGCAGAGTGCCCTCTAGAGGGCAATACTATTTTGTAAAGCCCTTTTCCCTGTGAGCTCCCTGTCTAGCCCAGCCTGCCAAGTGTCTTGTGATCACCTGGGAGATGACTATAAGCAACAACTATGTAGGCTGAAATCACCTAGCTCCCAGCAAAGATGCAGGCCACATTATGATTCAGACTGGTCTAATTTCATAGCTGGACAGAACAATCATTTGAGACACAAATATACTTCATGAAGTCAGACATGGTTTGACATGTCTGAAGTCCCAGCATTTGGGAGGCTGGGGGCCTGATTGTTGACTTTGAGGCCAGTCTGGGCTACTAGATGAGCAACTCCACTTTACCATCCCGGTTTCACATTCAAATTCTGTCCTCTTTGCCATACCCTCACCCCAAACTGTAGGCCTGGGTGATCACTGCAGGGCCAGGCTGCGCTAAGCTCCGGAAGGAACAGCAGAGGGCAAGCAGTTCTAGAGCAAATCACAGTAAGTTAGAAGCAGCAGCGGTGTGCAGCCCTGGCCCGGGCTTCAGCAAAGTGAGAGGTATGGGTCTTGATAAGCCCCATGGAGTACAGTCAGGGCAAGTGTTTGGGGGCAGAGAGAGCAGGGCAGTCTGATCACCCTAGGAATGAAGCCTGAGGTGGGGCCTCCTGCTTTTGCTAAGTACATAGCACAGACAGAGCTATGCACAGTAGGGAAGCCATCTGGGCTCTGGGAGCAGAAGGGACTGTAGGCAGTACTGCCCACAAGGTGGAGGCTACAAAAGACCTCTGCACTCAGAGGCAAGGCGACCTCAGCTCTGAGAACTGTTCCCTAGTCCTGTTTCCATGCACCTCCAGGTGCCAGATCTGAATGCTCTTGGAGAGCATCCGAACCACCCAGTGCTGGGCCCAAGGAATCATTCATTATTTCTATCCTGCCTAAGTCGCCTTGCAAACTCGGGTTTGGGACAACCATTGCTTTCTAGTTCTGTTCTAAATGGGAACCCACAAGCCATGAAGCCACAGCATTTTGGAGTGGAAAAGGGTTTAAGAGTTACTGATGTTCTCATTTGGCGGGTGGCCGAGCACCCTTCCCTGCATCTTCTATCTTTTTGGGTACAAGCACAAGTCTGGGCTCCGAGACGTGATTGCTCACAGGACACTGGGGCAGGACCTCCATTCCTGCCATCTCAGGGCGTCATTTGAGGTGGCTACTGGTCTGGCTGCCCCTCCCACTGCAGGGGTTGGGAGTGTCTGCTGAATGTCCAGCACATTTCGTCCCTAGCTTCAGGCTTTAGCTGTGTTTCCTGGTCAGAAGGGAAGAAAGCTTTCTGTATCCTGCCCAGGCACTGGATTAAGAGCATTGTGGGAATCATTTATCAACACTTTATTCCAGAAGTTGTCCTGTGTTATAAAACTGTTGCATGTGAGAAGATGTCTGGTCTGAGGCTTCAGTTCCACAGACGAAGGAGTGAGTGAAGGGAGCCTGTGAAAGGAGGCTGGGAGCCTTTCTGGGAGACTCGGGGGATGTACATTCCAGACAAGCCCATGCTGAACAAAAGCAGACCTTACACACCGTGCTATGGCTCAAAAAGAAGCCACATTTCATTCTCTGAGCTCATGTCCCTCCACACAGCAGGGTAGACAAGTCCAGCTCCCCGTTCCTCTTCAGATGGAGAAAAAATGACCTTTTGCTGCTTGTTCACTATGAGTCAATCAGCAGTGACTTATTTTCTACAAATATAAAAACAGATATAAAAAGGGACTCCCTCTTGGCTAGAACCCAGAGCTCCACCATACGGCATGGCCTGTTGGCAAGGCCTGGATGCAGAAAGGGAGGACTGATTCCAAACCACAGCCACTCCAGCCACCAACGCCCATACCCCAGAGTACTAAGTTACACATGGACAAAGAGAAAGCTTTATTAAATCATTCATTAAAGTATAAATTAGGCTTCTTTAGGCTTATAAAAAAGTATTCCTAGGCTCTGAGGAAAGTCGTCTACGTCAGTCCCAAGGTACTTTTCTCCCCAGGAGTTGGTTGGTCACCCTCTGTGGAAAAACACAGGGAGGAGTGTCAGACACAGTCACCGGGTGGCTGGTCACCACTGTCTCGGCACACTGCCAATGAGACTCTCCTACAGCGTGTGTGTGTCACTCACCTACACACAGTGGCAATCAGGAAAAATGTGTGTCTTCAAGTGTTCTGGAAAGGTGGTCAATAATCCACACCTTCTCCATAGAAAGAGATACTAGAATGGTGAGGGACTGACCAACCCATCAGCTGACAACAGCCAGCAGCACAGCAGGCCCATGTGATGCTAACACAGCAGGCAGGCATGCAGTTCCTGGCGTCTGTCTCCCCAATGCCCAGGCTCCTGGGGGCTCCAGACACAGTTCTCAAGTCTCACACTAGTCTGGTCTGATCCTTGGCGTCTGCCTTTCAGAGTCCTCTAAAGAGCAGTGAGCAGCCTGGGAGGGAAACAACTGGGAAGGACGTGGCCCTTCAAGCCAGTGGCGTCTGAGGAATTAACTGGCACCCTGCTCTGGAAGGTTCTTGGCAGGCTCCACTCTCCAGCCTCTCACTCCCTGCTGACAATGCATAGACACTGTCCAGGTTATTTACATAGTTCTGGACTTGCAAAACGAGTTTCAAATCACCATTTAGGAATTACAGCTCAGTCAGGGGGGCTAAATTGCCGGTGTGAAGTCTGGTTTAGCTACCGACACATGGATAGTGCCGAATCACAGCTGCCTAATGTTTGAAATCTCAGCACTTAAACAGTCCCTGTACTTCTCCAAAGTGTCAGTCAGGCTCCTTCTACTTCCCTGTGCTGATAAGCCTGATCCATCCCTCCATGGACAGAATGTCAGCAGAGCTAACCGTTTTATAGTGCTGAGCTCGCAGCCGGTAGGATTTATATTCTGATTTCCTCTTCTCCTCTTCTCTCTTCTTCTTCACTTCTGGAAGCTGCTCATAGATCCTTAGAAATGGCATAAGTGGGAAGACAGAAAGAAGTACAGTTATCTGGCATGAAGGTACAAACAGCTCGCCCGACACCTCTGGCTCTATGCTGCCTGGGCATCCAGCCTCTAGACAGAGCCACCCCGATAAGCATCCATGTCCATGTCCATAGATGTGGAGAGCCTGGCCTGGGGTGCCCACAATTTGGAAGAGAGATTATGAAAATATGAAACATTGATAATAGTGCTTATTCCAGAAAAAGAATAAAATAAAGGGAGTAGGTAAAATTATGTTTTCCATGCTATCTGCAAACCTATATAGTTTCAATATAACAAAAAGCTATTACTGAGTACATACACGTATGTACACAGACAGGATCAACTGAGGTACCCCACACTAGTCTGGAACTCAACCTAGCCTTAGCTTACTAATGCTGGGATTATACAGATATGCAACACCATATCCAGCTTACTATTGTATTTTTAAAATTAATATTTTGGTTAGCATACAAAGAAATGGATTTTACTGAGATGTCACATGTATATAATCGTTTTTCTTATTTGCCCTCCTAATCCTCTCTACACCTCTTGCTGGTCCCCTTCTTTCCCAAATAGTGCCCTTTCTGCTTTCATGATGCACACGCTCCTTAGCCTCTTTCCATCTCCCCATCGTCCCTCAAGTCTGCTTTTCTACTTTATGTTCCACATATGAAGAAAATATGGCATTTGTCTGAATCTAGCTTATTTTGCTTAACACAATGATTTCCAGTTTTACCCATTTTCCTGAAAATACACTATCAGTCTTTACAGCTGAATAAAACCCAATGTATATATGCACCACATTTCCTTTACCCACTCATCTGCTGAGGAACACTGGAGCTGATTCCATTTGTGGGGACTGTGAACACCACTGCAATGAGCATGGATGTGCAAGCATCTCTGTGATATGCTGCTGACATAAAGCCCTTCAGGTGTACACCCAGAAGTGGTAGAGCCGGGTCATATGACAGTTTAGTTTCCGTGTTTTGAGAAACTTTCTACACTGAGTCTACGGTGGATGGAGCAGTTTCCATTCCCTCCACAACACACTCCCTTCCCCACCTCCTCCCTCCACAGCATTTGTTTCCTTGATGCTAGCCACTCTGACTGGAGAGGAAATCTCAGAGTTTCGATTTGCATTTCCCTGATGGCTAAAGATGTTGAATACATTTTCAAGTATTTATTGGCCATTTGATTTTTCTTTTGTGAATTGTTTAGTTCATTAGCCTATTTAATGGCTGGATGATTCTTTTAATATATTTAATCTCTATAGATTTTATAATCTATAATCCTCTGTTGGATGGTGTTGTGAAATGTCCCTGTCTCATACGTTTGAACACTGGGTCCCCAGCTGGTGACACTGTTTGGGAAGGTTGTGGAGCTTCACTGGAAGAAGTGGATCATGGGGGATGGACCTTGAGCTCGGACCCACTTCCTGTGCACTCTCTACTTCCTAAGGGTAAATGCAATGTGACGGGTCAGCAGCCTCCCCTGCTGGCCACCGCAATGGACTGTAGGCCAAAATAAACCCTTGGTTCCTACGTTGCTTTTGTTAGGATATTTTATCACAGCAACGAGAAAATAACATAAAAGACAGACACATAGCTGGCAAAGATTTTCTTCCTTTCTGTAGGCCATCCCTTCACTCTGCTGATGTTTCTTTCTTTGTATAAGAAACTTTAATTTCATGAAATTCCATTTTTAATTCTGTGGATCATTTTCTGTGCTTCTCAGAAAGCCTTTACATATCACTGTTATCTTGATGTGTTTTGCCTCCAGCAGTTTCAGTTACTATTGCATTTCAAACACAGGAAAATCAAGAAAAGTACTGGACTAGCTGCACCTGTAAAATACCTGAGTTAACAGAGAAGAGACACTTATTCTGTGGAAAGGGCCAAGCAGGCTTCAGAGGAGTTTAGGCTTGTGTGGGATGACTCATCCCTAACAGGCTTGAGGGCCAGCTGGCCCAAACAAGTAAAAAAGATGCTTTCTGAGAGCCAACCTGGGTCTGCCTAAGGGCCTTAGCAACAGCAGCTGAAACATAATCTGGAGATGACCCGGACCAATGAGGGGCAGCAGATGCATATTCATCAGACCTCCCCCAGGGTGGAGTGGAGGGTATGTATATAAGGCTTGCCTCTTCCTGAAGAAACTGAGCTTGTTGTTTTGACATTCTCCCAGAGTCTGTGTGGTTTGACTCTGCGCCTACTTGGCCCCTCCCACAAAGGGAATAATAGAACAGGACCCTGCTACAGGCTTGTACTGGAAATGAAGAACTGTCAGGGACAGGACAGAGACAGGAGAAAGGGTATCCACGCTGGGAATGTGTGCTGGGAGAAACAGAGTTGCAGAGCTGTGGTTCAGGGAAACAGGTGGGAAGCAGGTGGGGAGAGGCTGAGGTGGGCTGCAGGTCTGACATTCGGGTGACAAATTACACTTCATCCTAGACAGGGTTGGGTGCCCCTAACCTCAGGCTGAGAGGAGCTTGAAAACAAGATGAGTGTGTGTAGGATGGAAGGAAGAATTCTGAGTAGTACTTTTACTTTCTTCTTTCTACTTTTAGAAATATTGTCCAAAGAGTATTACAATTCAAAAAGCAAAAGTCACTGAAAAGGAAGCAGCGCCAAGAGTGGCCAGCTCCTCTGACCTGCGTTTGGGAAGCACAGGCAGAGATGGGAGGATCCGTGAGTTCCAAGGCAGCCCGGTCTACAGAGCAAGTTCCAGGCCAGCCATGAGCATATACGTTTGTCTCAAACAAACCAACATCGATAAAAAACAACCCATCACATCAGAAGCACCACGCAACTACCTGACTGTTCTTATTAAAATCAGATTCTAATGGGCCCCTAGGAATGTCCCCCATGACTTAGATTTTCAATGGCATCCTCAGGATCAATATGTGTGTGTATCAAACTGATTAACTAGTGCGGAGACAACGCCTGCCACGGCACAAGATTCAAAAAGTCTCTGAAAACCTGTTCTGAGGAAATGGCTCAGTCTCAGTGGGTGAGAGCACTGGCTGCTCTTGGAGAGGACCCAGGTTCAATTCCCAGCGCCGGTGTGGCAGCTCACAACCACTTGTAACTCCAGTTCAAGGAAATCCAACACCTTCTTTTGGCCTTTGGGGTCACCACATGCATGTGGATATACATACTTACATACATATTGGCAAAACACTCATACACACAAAATAAAATCTTAAAAACAACAAAAACCTGGTCTCTTATATTTCTATACCCCATCCACTCTGTTCTCGTTTCCCAAAGGTAACCACTATTACCAATTCTTTTGCAATTACAGAAATACTTTATGCATGCACAGGTCTACACAGCTATAAAGCAAAGGCATTTCATTTCACAGTGCAGCAATGAACTGAAACTGAGCACGCTTCTGAAACTCAGCTTCTTAAACTTAACTTAATGTCTTGGAGAGCAAGCCCATTATTTCCTACTCTGTTGGAAAAACTCCTAGAGATGAGATTGCTAAGATAAAGAAGGTGACCTAAAATAAATATTTGTTTTTATTTCCAAATACTTTTTAGTTTCATGCAGATTTCTTTTTTTTTTTTTTTTTTTTTTTTTTTTTTGGTTTTTTCGAGACAGGGTTTCTCTGTGTAGCTTTGCGCCTTTCCTGGAACTCGCTTTGGAGACCAGGCTGGCCTCGAACTCACAGAGATCCGCCTGGCTCTGCCTCCCGAGTGCTGGGATTAAAGGCGTGCGCCACCACCGCCCGGCCTCATGCAGATTTCTAATAGAGACAAGCTCATCCCAGGCATTCTCCTTCCCTCTTTGAACAGGAAGCACTCAAGCA